ATATATATTACATACACACACACACACACACACACACACAAAAGAAAGAGTTAATTGTGTTTTCTGTTGTCATAAAACTGCAGATGTCTTTAGATAGTTTTCCTGTTAGTTTTCACATTTGGAGAGCAGTAGAGGCGGTGTGTGAATTCCCTGCTGAATATTTTCCTGTTTGCATATTATCTGCTTGTTTAATTAATTCTTAAATTAATGTATTGACAGGGCAGGTTGTGTGGAGGGAAAAAATAAATTGTATCACCTCTGCCAGTCTCCTTTCAATGTAAACTTTCTGATCTTCTCCAGTGTTTGCGTTAATAAAACAAATGTCTGTGGAGACATGAAAGGCACAAGCATTAATATTTGCCTTCGCCTGTTTTGCCTTTGTTGACCGTCTTTGTTGACTGTCTGTCTCCTGTGATGTGCTACTGTCTGGTGGCAGGATCACAGCGGGGCTTCACTTCTGCCTTAACGAGCAGCTGGAGACCTTAATGAGTATAAATCACGTCTGTCTGCTGTGATGCTGGTCTGGTTTCATCATTCTCCGTTTTCCCTCTGTTTTCTCCACCACACAGCCACTCCACAGATCAAGCCTTGTGACTTCCAGACGTTAATCTCTGACCTCACGTTTACCCCTCTCCCGCCTGCCTCCCCTCAGATTTTCAGGGAACAGCTCAACACCCAAATTGTGCTCGTCGCTATGGAAACCTGGTCGGTGGACAACAAGTTCAACATCGATGACGACCCCATGGTGACGCTGAAGGAGTTCATGAAGTACAGGAAGGACTTCATCAAGGAGAAGTGTGACTCTGTTCACCTCTTTTCGTGAGTCTGCTGATTCAAAAGTGAACTTTAATAATTATTTTTGTGCACAGATTTATTTTGCTAAACACACGTTTCCTTGCAGAGGGAATCAGTTTCATAGCAACCGGGGGGCGGTCTCCTATACGGGAGGAGTTTGTTCTCTCACCAAAGGAGGGGGAGTCAATGAGGTGAGGCTAATCACGCAACGAAAAGGACAGTTTAGGAAGGAACAGTACATTTTCACAATTTTGTCACATTATAATGTGACAAAATTGCTATAGCCAACAACCTCAGCAGATGAGACAAATGCAAAGCAGTACATAATAGTGAAGTAGATCAGAAAGGAAAGACAAATGGTTTTCAAATTGGTTCACAGCTAAAGATCTGAAAAGTGTGGCATGCATTTGTATCCACCACACCCGTCAATCCCTGCACCTTTTACTGGAATCACAGCTGCAGGTCTTTTGTGGGTGACTGAAATATTCAGACTGAAATTATTTGATTAATTTTAAAATCTTGGTGCAGATTCATAATTGGACTTTGTCTAGGTCATTACAGCACAAGAAGATGTTATATTTTCACAGCATGATGGGGATGGTGTGTTCAGTGGGATGTGTACCACAGCAAAGGAGGCTAAATACAAATGAAAACCATACATCATGTTTTTCCCTTTTCAGTTTTATGCACTACTTTGTGTTGTCACAATGAAATACAGTTTAACTGTAATGGAAAAAGTACATGGATACTTATGGAAACCACTGTATTTTCTGTTTCATTATACATTGGATTTTAAAAGTAATTTTGCTTGAGAAGGGAAACAATATGACAGGACACCCAGAGTTGAAGTTTTTTTTGGTAGAAGTGAGTTTGCAGATGGTTGATTAGATTTTATGCATTTCAAATCAGACATGCAGGATATAAAAAAAAATCATTGCAGCAGAACAGAGAAGTCTGACAATGTATGAAAATGTAAAAAAAACGAAAAATGAGAGTGGAGTGGCTGTAAAAGACATTAAACTCAACTTTTTTATTTTCCACTCTTTGTTGCTGTTACTGATTATGTTTCATATTACAAACTCCAGTGAACATTTTGTTGCTTTTCAACTCAATCTTGATCAGTTATTTTAATTACCTCTTTGGTTTATAATGGTGACTTTATTAGATTTTATGCAAAATAAATGTTCTCCTTAACACTACTACTGTCTTACTTTGCATTTCTTCCTTTTCCTGCTGTTCTGCCTTCTCTCTGTCTGCATCAGTATGGTAAAACAAATGAGATGGCCATCACCCTGGCTCAGTCTTTGGGTCAGAACATCGGCATTTTCTCTGACAAGAAGAGGATCCTCAACGGTATGCAGAGAAACCTTTCCTAGGTTTTGTTTATTTCGTAAAACCACAACTCAAAGCCTCATTTTTATTCTTTCTCAAGGTGAATGTAAGTGTGATGATCGATGGGCAGGCTGCATCATGGATGACGTTGGGTAAGTTGGAACAAATGTTTGTTTCTTATTTTTTTCCTGACTTTTTTTTACATAATTTACAGAGCTGACCTTAGATTTATTCTCAGTTTATGATAAACCTCTTTTTTGCTGTTTTAATTTAATTTAATTTAATTTATCTGTGGTGTCTGGTGAGGCCTTAATTTCCATATATAGCTTTGGGAAAAATTAAGAGACCACTGCAAAATTATCAGTTTCTCTGGTTTTACTCTTATATGTTTGAGTAAAATGAACATTGTGCTTTTATTCTATGAACTACTGACAACATGTCTCTGAAATGCCAAGCAAAAATTTAGTATTTATTAGCAGAAAATGAGAAATGGTCAAAATAACAAAAAAGATGCAGTGCTTTCAGTCCTTAAATAATGCAAAGAAAACAAGATCTTATTCATTTAGAAACAACAATACTAATGTTTTAGCTCAGGAAGAGTTCAGAAATCAATATTTGGTGGAATAATCAGGAGGTTTTTAACCTCAGTGCAGTGGAGTCTTAATTTTTTTTTCAGAGCTTTATATTTACACAAATAAGAATAGTGTATTATCGTCTGCTGTAGTTCTGTAATTTACCACTAGATGTCAGTCCAGATATGTTCATGCTGTTTGGTTTCACCAGATAAGGCTTGTTAAGATAAGAAAACGGTAAATAATAAGTCACTCTGCATTTTGTGTTCATGCTTGAATCCAGATATTGTCCTGAAGTGTATTTCTGTGCTGTGAAGGCTTGCTCTGCGTATGGATGTGTGTGTCTGTGTTGCATTTTTGTGTTTGTGAGTGTATACCCCTCTTCTTAAATACATTTTGGTTTTCCCTCTATCCTGAAAGGCACAGCAGGTGAGCAGAAGCTTGCTCTATAGTTGCTTGTGCTGTTTTTTTGTTTTTGTTTTTGCTTTTTGGGTGTGGGGAACTGAAAGTTGTCAGTCACCTCAACCTTTCCCATCTCATTCAGCAGCACCACAGTCACCTCAGCTCCAGCTTCTGTTTTTATTTAGAGCAGTGGCGTCCAAGAAATTTGCCAAAATTGTCAAGTCATTCATTGGCAACAAAAGGTTTTTTTTTTCTTTTTTTTTTTTTTTATTCAAGTGAATTTCATCTAAGTTTTATTAGCTAATCAAAAAAAAGTAAGCAAGAATTTTTTCAATGAAGCAAACAAAGTAGTTTGATCTTTGTTCAGGATTATTTGTGAGTCATTGTAGAGCCAATAAAAGGACCTATCAGCTTTACTTTATTTAAAGGAGGGCGTAAAATATCAAAATAAATTGTGTTGAATAATTTCTTAAATTACAAAACTAGAATAGTGTATGTCTTTAAACATACTTCTTGCACTTAGCAAAACTTATTTTTTGCTCACCCAAGACTGGTTTCAACTAAATAACTGGATGTTTGTGATTCTATTTTATATTAAATCAAAATTAAAACAAAATCATGGTAAATTAAAGATTTTGTACTGCACCCAACTTTTTCTAATTTAAGAAGACTTTATTTTGTCCAAATCTCTTTTGAGAGACCTATCTAGCATTTAGAAATTTCCACCCTTAAGAAAAAGAGTCTATCTGAATCATCCACCTGCCTTGGCTGGCCAAGTTTGGACCGTATTTTATTTATGGTTGCGGGCCGCACAGAATCCTTCCAAGCAGTAGAGGTTCTGGCATAAATGCCTCTCCTACCTCCACCAATCAGAAAACAGGAATTAAACTCGGATTAAGCAACAGAGCACTTGTTCAGGGTGCAACTGATAGACAAATCATTTTTTTTCTGTATCTGCTGCTAATGTGTCCCTCTTCCTAATGCCGCTCTGCCCGTCAAGAACCGCCACTGCTTCCAAGGACCACAGACGGCTCCGCACTTTGGACACCTCTGGTGTAGACAATATGAACAAATACGGCTCAATAATCTGCTGTATTTTTCATACTACTTCCAAAAATTGTCACATTTAGATATTTTATTATTTTTTTTTTTTTAGTGTTCAGTCAGGGTCACTGGCTGATCTGCGGGGAAAACTTTACATTCGTTTTCTCCTAATGAAAAGCTCTCTGCCCTCTCTTCGGACAAGTTGCGGCTTGTCATCACTTGCTTTTGTCCACTAATAACCGATTGATACAGTCTGCAATGTCATTCTCATCATTTGTCAATATTTACCTCGTTTCAGTGTAACAGTAGTTGACTTCCTTAACCTAGCCTCTTTAGATCCTGCTCTAGTTCTTCATCAAAATGAACCAGAGGTTTCATGACAGAGGACAGGTGCTCCTTTTCCGCCTGTCACCTGTGAATGGACCAATCTGAATCTCTAAAGTCAAGTCAATGGTATTTCAGACATTTGTATTCAATGAGCCGCCTGTATTTATCTTGTAGTACCTGCTGCATGCCAGACCTAGTTAACCTGAATAACAGTTTCATGTTGTTTCCACAGGATGTAGCTTCTGTGTGCATGAGGGCGCGGATAGTTGGATAAATACTGAGTTTTTTCAATGTCCATGCCTTTGTGACAGACCTGCCAATATTTCCCACCCTTGGGGCAATTTAGTTGAAACCAAAACATCAATTGTTTTGTTATTCGTTAAGAGTGAGTTAGTACGAATGTCTGCATTTTCACTTATTATACGTTTTTTCGCTTCCTGTCCATTTTAATAACGGACGAATGCCGCTCTGCAGTAAGAATCTGCTGGAATACTTTGAATAACGATGTCCACAGATGCTTTCCATCCAATATAACAGAGTTTGAGTTTTTATGCAAAGAGCAAAGTGGAAAATCTTAGTATCTAGATGTACAAAGCTGTTAGAGACTTGTCTCAAAGCACTCACAGCTAAAGGCTGGAAAGTATTGACTCGCTGTGGTTTACTCCCGAACACTCGGAAATGGCTTTGTAACTTTTTCAGATCTGATAGATTCGTTATTTTGTCTAGATCAGGGCATGATGTGTCGCTTTTTCAAATCTTTTACCCTATTTCATGTTGTCAAACAGGTTCTAGTTAAGTTATTATTATTTTTTGGTTCTTCAGGCCTGTAATCAGGCTTGGTGGTTCGTGAAACTGAACCAAAAAGATGTTTTTAATCATTTAAGTCCTGATTTAATATGGAGGATGATTATGTTTTCCAAAAGGATCAGCATTTTCTCTCTCATAAATTAAATCCAAACTGTGTTTGATGATCTGAAAATAGCAGAAAAAGCAGAAATCTTCATGTGCAAACACTAAAACATAAGTAAAGCCTGATTAATGCTTCTAGCATCTTTTGTGATCAGAGATCAATTGATAATATAACTTATGATTTCTTAATCATAAGCAGAATAAATAAAAACGTATCTTTTGCCTCACTCACATCCCTGTTCTGGGCTCATATTTGCTGGAATCTCCTCTGATATGTTAGTTTACAAAATGAGTTGAGTTTCGTGAAACTTTGGAAAGAAACGCTAGTGTGGAAACATTGTTTTTAGACTTCATGAAACAAGATTACCTCCGACACGCATTCAGTTTCAGGGGTTTTGTTTGTCTGTGTTTCTTTAGAGGAAATCTCTCTCTAGCATTAAGACCTGTGGATGCTCTCTTTTAACAAGGTGTGTGTTTTTTATTTAACAGTTTCTATTTACCTAAGAAGTTTACTGATTGCAACGTGGAAGAGTACCACAACTTTCTGAACAGTGGGGGAGGAGCCTGCCTCTTTAATAAACCTCGAAAGGTAAATGACACACACAAACTGTAAATGTCACACTTTAAACAAAGCTCTAACGGTGTGTGAAATCATTTTGTACGTTATTTTAGTCTATTCACTTGAATACAAGGTTTCTGCCTGTATCCATTCAGTTTTAATGTGCATTTTATTGAAGGTCCAAAATGAAATGATACACATTTTTGCTCTTGTTTTCTCCTGCTCAGCTGCTGGACCCGCCAGAGTGTGGTAACGGCATTTTGGAGGCAGGAGAAGAGTGTGACTGTGGCAGCACTGAGGTGAGTCCAGCCACTGTAGGACAGACGCAAGAAATGTATCAAAATACAGTAAAATAGATAAACAGGATGTTATTCAGCTGTGAGTGATCCAAAGCACAAAACTGCACTTATCTGCTGTTGGGAAAACAATATTTACAGAGTGACTTTTCTATTAAAGCTTTTTGGAATATTTAATGGTCTGTATATGGTAATATGTGACCGTTCATTTTGGAGAAGATTTGTGCGGTCAGACACTGATGTTGGGTGAGAGGGCGTGGCTCTCGGCCTCTGTCAGCTGGGTTGAGGTGATTTCTCTAAGCCGCCCGGTCGACAAGCTCCCTTATTGCTTTTAGCCCTGGTTTCCATTCGGACATGTCTGCATGGTCCCACATAGTTTGGAATATGAAATTGTCGTCTGTCCAACCCTTAATCCAGAAAAAAAACAACAAAGAAAAAAAACAATCAAATCACACACGTCACAGTGCAGTCAGGTAAGGAGCATTTCCTTGAAATGGCCGAGCTCAGACCCGTTCATCAGGATACCAGACAGAGAATCTGGATTCATCAATCCAGAAAACACATGTACTTCAGTCCAGAGTTCAGTGGCGTCAGCCTGCTGTCCGTTTGTTGCAACTAACAACCGAGCGTGAAATTTTTGGAAATGAACGAAATTTAATAAACTGTAGAGGTCTTGACGGTGGTTCGTTCTTCGACAAATGTTTGCACTCTGCATGCCACACATGCTGGTTTTAATACATGTGGAAGTGATCTGAACACCATAATTTGACATCTCAGCACTTCCAGAAATGTTTGCATAGCATCTAGCCTTCTATATGGCAGCAGGGAGAGAGAAACCACATGCTGTCTTAATCTCTTAACAAAAGCAGGAATCTTGGCTGGATAAAAAAAGAAGTCAGATCTCTGCTTAAATTTGCTGCGTGACAGTTGAAGTCATTGTGAACCAGAAGATGTATATATATATATATATTTTTTTTCAGGAATGTGCCAAAGAGGGCGAGAACTGCTGTAAGAACTGCACTCTGACCAAAGGGTCCAACTGTAGCAACGGACTGTGCTGCAGAAACTGCCAGGTACCAAACAAGACGCGCTCGTCTTCATGATGTCTACCTGTCCGTCGAAGTGGCACTGAACTGACTGCGATGAACAAACCAAACCTTTTCTTTCCTCTAATTTAGCACCTACTAACAAATCTGTTGCTATTTCTGTAATAATGCTACTTTAATGTTACAGCTTCATTTATTGGAGATATTTTCATGTTTGTTTAACTAAGTAGAGAGATTTAATGTTTGGAGACCCTCGTGCATAGAGGGTTCACCGTCTTTGCTGCCCAAACACCCAAATGCAAGACGACAATCTGTTTAATCTGCTTGATTTGCTGCTGCAGATGGAGGTCGTGGGAGTTTTGTGTCGAGACGCGGTGAACGACTGCGACATACCAGAAAAATGCACAGGCAACTCCAGCCAGGTGAGCATGAGTCTTCCTCTGACTTTTTATTTGGAGTAGCAGTAATAAATCTGTTCAATAGTCCATTACTCGTCACTGTATTTTATTTTATTTAATTGTTTGTTTCAGTGTCCACCAAATGTGCACAAGATGGACGGATACACATGTGAAAAAGATCAAGTAAGACATTATATTAAGTTATAATATTTTATTACATTTGTGCTTTTCTTGACTCTTACATTAAGGTTCTCTCTTTCTGCAGGGTCGCTGCTTCAATGGAAGGTGCAAAACAAAAGACAGACAGTGCAAGTACATTTGGGGAGAAAGTAAGTGCACAATGTGGCTATATTATGTAAAAAATTGATAAAATGCAATACATTTTATGTGTGTAAAATTTGGGTGAGAACAAAGTTTAAGTGGTATTAGTACTTTTCTGCACAGAAGAAACCTGACACGGGCAATTCATGTCTTATGTCTCCATCAGAGGCGACAGCAGCTGACAAGTTCTGCTATGAAAAGCTCAACATTGAGGGGACAGAAAAAGGAAACTGTGGGAAGGAAAAGGACACCTGGATCCAGTGTAACAAACAGTAAGCGTGTCCTTTTGGTCACTTGTACTTTTGCTTCTCTCTGTTCAATCTGTGTTTCTGTACTTCTGTGTTTTAGGGATGTTCACTGCGGCTACCTGCTGTGCTCAAACATCTCCCCTGCCCCGCGGCTGGGCGACCTGCAGGGAGGACTCACCTCTTTCTCAGTCGCCCAGCACGGTGCCCCCCTGGACTGCAGGTATGAAACGGATAAACCTGACAGATTAAGCCTGGTGATGTGTTCTGCTGCGAAGCAACACTTTTTTTTAGTGCATTGTTACATCCTTTAACTGTTTAATGCAGATTTATTTCCCATATAATCCAGAAGTGACACACACAGATACAACTCGCATAAACGGCACCGCTTCTCTCTGTGATGTTCCCCATTCAGCGGTGCGCATGTGCTGATTGACGGAGACACGGACCTGGGGTACGTCGAGGACGGGACGGCCTGCGGAACGGACAGCATCTGCTTGGATCACAAGTGTCTGCCGATTGAACAGTTCAACTTCAGCACCTGTCCCGGCACCACCGACAAGACCATCTGCTCCGGACACGGAGTATGCGACACTTCTCCGGCGTACTGCATATTCATCAAGTGCACAAACCTGCTGGTGTTTAACGAATGTCCTCTCTGCAGGTGTGCAGTAATGAGCTGAGGTGTGTGTGCGAGCTGGGCTGGACAGGAGACGACTGCTACTCCAGGTCTCCGTTCAGTAACCTTGTGGTGGGACCGACCGCTCCTGTTTCAGGTACATGTTCAAACGCTGCACCACCAGCATTAAATCATCTTTCTCTTTCCTGTTTTCTGTTCATCCGCAATTCACACTTGTTACCATTCAGTATCTGCATTATTACTGTCCTTTCACTGTTATTAATTCAATCTGCATTTTGTGCATGTCGCTCTTTTTTGTTTGTCATTATTTTTATGCTCGTCTTTGTTGACAGACTGATCTCTGATGGATTGCCTCGAGGTCAGAGTTTCAGTTTCTTTTTCGCTGTTTGTTCTGTTTTTGTTTCCATTTTCTGGTTGTTTTCCTCGCTCATCCCAGGTCTCTGATTTAAAACTCCTTTTATAAAGCATTTAGGTGTTCTTTCTTATGAGTGGGAAGCTAAACCCTGCAGACGGTGAAGATCTTTTCAGTTTATTCTCCCTTCTCTTCCTTTCCAACCCTTTCCGCTGGTTCTCTTGTGTTTGATTGTTTCCCTCTGCTGTGTTTTGTGGTTTTTGTTTCCCCCAAATGATCAGATTGCTCACAAGACCACAAGCCTAACCCAATCAATTAACACACATTTGGCTCCACCACTGTCATCTCCTCCTCCTCCGTCTTCCTCAGGTATCACCAGCACCAACATCATCATCGGGGCCATCACTGGCTCCATCCTCTTCCTCGCTCTCATACTGGCAGTCACAGCCTGGTGCTACAAGTGAGTGTCCGCACAGGCATAAGGAGTGATGATGATTGGCTAAAGATGAGCTGAAATCAGGAATCTGTTCTCTTCACAGGAGCTACAAAAAGAGGCGATACGCTGAATCTGAGGTTCACAGGAGATTCTGCCGGTTTGCTGCTTTTCATTCTTGTTTTTCTTTCAATCTTGTGTCACAAAATGCACAACAATGCTGTGGTAGGTGTGAACGTGTTCAGTAAACAGAGGTAACCTTTAAATTCTAGTTGGGAGCAAAAGACTCTAGTCAAAATATTTAGCCTCTGAGGCAGACAAACAGGAAAGACCGAGATGCAGATCTTCAGCTGCAGAGCCAGACCAACAAAACTGAGGGGAATCCAAGCGAGAGTGATGCTCTGATGTTTGAGAATAATTTAAAAATTTACTAGGAACTGACTTGATAGCCTCATCATGTTGTTTTGTCGGTTTCCCCGGCTGAAATATGTTTTCTCTCAAACTCTGCACCAGGCTAACTTACAACCTAATTCAGGCACAAACACACACACAGGGATAAGCTAATCTCTAAAGGACCTAGGGTTAATATGGTCAATAATGAATCAAGTGAACTTTAACGAGCAGTGGACCCAGACTGAAGCTAACAGACTGACACATTTAACCCTTTTTACATAGTAAAATGTCCCAGAAGTTACCATCACAATCTTTTTATTTATTTATTTTTTATTTATTTTTTTTTACAAATGAGCAAATATCTGTCAAAGTTTCTAAAACAATTTTTGGTGCAATGACACTTTAGTTCTTGTCACTGAAATCATCTTTTGACACATTTACACACATCCCTGACCTGAGATTATTAATTGTTATTGGTGTTTTGTATTTAATAAGGTAGAGGTTGTGTGATGAAAAAGTTATTTTTTTTTTTTAGTTCAGTTGATGAAATCCATATTTCCAAAATTGTTAAATATAACAAAAACAGAAGCTTTGCATAAACTTGTGTTTCAGACAACTTTCAAACCTCTGGAATAAGCTTATTTAATTCGCCACTCAGGTGGCACATCTGGTGGCAATTTTATGGGGTCCATTTATATGGCATCTAAAGATATTCCCTTGGTGTTTCCAGACAAATCCCCCCCGGTGACTATGTCACCAAACCCGGGGATGCAGATTCATTTTACAGCGACATGCCTCCGGGCGTCAGCACCAACTCCGGATGCAGCTCCAAGAAGAGGTCAGCCTGCCTGTCCCACCTGCAGATTTGCACGCTGTCCTTCACTCCATCCTTCCCATCCATTTCTCAGAACTTCTCAGTGTTTGGCTTCAGGTTTGCCATTTCATCATCCCTCATTCATTTGCTTGTTTCCGATGTTTTTTGAAATTGCTGATGGAGATCTCACTCATAATATGTGTCCATATTATGCTTTTGGGAGTACCATGGCTTTCATGGTATGAGCATTTTTAAAGCTAAAAAACATGTCAAAATGGGGAAACATCTTGACATTGACGAGCTGAGTCACTCATGGTGCTGTATGCTCACTTCTACTGCTCACGTTTACATATCACACTAACCGTTGTCTACATTTCCTCTCGTCTCCAAAAGTTGCTCTGGACTCGTACAATGTTAAAGGAACACTGTTAAGCGGTTTTATTTGTGTTCATGTGGACAGATCTAACGGCCTGTCCCACTCGTGGAGCGAGAGGATTCCAGATGCCAAACACATCACCGACATCTGTGAAAACGGGAGACCGCGGAGCAATTCGTGGCAAGGTGACGCACCGATAAGCTTTCTGAACACGGAAATTTAAATATGATTAAATACGGCTCGTCCGATCACTTTATGCTCTGATTAATAAGATTTAGTGTGCAGTTAATGTTCTTCATTGTGAAATGAAACATTTTCAGGAGCTAAATTTGTTCAATATCAAATACTTTTCCTCAGGTCTCTTACTTTGATTTTCTTTCCAGGAAACCTCAGTGGTAATCGGAAGAAGCTGAAAGGGAAGAAGTTCAGGGCTCGCTCCAACTCCACAGAGTGAGTTCACCTCGGTGTCGGCATCTGCTCAGCAATCTGAAAATTATTCTTTATAGGGGGGAAACGAGTAACAATTTATATTCCAACATTTAATCTCAACAATTCCAACAAAAAACAAAAAAACTCAAGTTGTTTAGAAGTAATGGTTTTGCTTACAAAATACTTTAAAGTTGGTGTTCGATTCAATGCTAAAGAATAAATGTGATGTTTTAGAGCTGAAAGTCATAAATCCATGAGAGTACAGATTTGTTTTTGACGCAGATAAGCAACTTAAACACACATTTTTATGACAACAAAAGTGCATTTGAAGCCAGGCCTTGTCTAAAATGTAAACTGCATTAGCATATATGGATGACGTATTATTTTAATACGTTGCAAAAGGGTGAAATATGTCTGAAAACCATGTTATTAAATTAAATCGATAATCTCTGTCTCCACACTTTTCTGCTGCATGTTTCCCCACAATAATTAGCGACAGTCGAGACTAATAAGATTACATATCAGTTTTGTGACTTCCTGTCCAGCCACTACATGTTGTTGTAGGAAATCTACCCGTGGACGAGCTTGTGGAGTTTAACCTCAGAAAAACGTTTTGACGGCAACATAGCAGTTGAACCCTAAAACATAGACTGTGTGGAAAAAGTGAGACTTTCAGCTACTTTCTTTCACCGTTACTGTGTTTTACAGAATCATTGCACTGCTCAGTATCCGGATTTCTCAGGGAAATAGGAATGGTAGCATAAACACATGTGTATCAGAATAAAAATGGTGGTCAGATCGGGAGCAGAAATTACTTCTACCTCAATGCTGCCAGAATAATAGCACTTTTAAATCCCTTGTTACCTTTGGTGCCAGTTTTTTAAGTCTCTAATTAAGCTTCTGCTCTTCGACAATGGATACATCACTATATGCCAATATAAATGTTTAGCTTAAGTGAATTTAAGCTAAAGACTTTAATATTACTACTTTTTTCCTGGGAGAAGGAAATACCACAAGTTCATTGTTGCACACAATCTCATCATTTATTGAAGACAAATAAAAAGAAAAAACTGTAAATAAGTAACGTCTGTTTGTCAGAATTAGCTATATTCTTAACTGCAGACTTGAAGCAACAAGATTGAAAAATGTAAGACTGAAAATTAACTAAAGTGATGCTGTTTAGAGAAAAAGTTTATCAGTATTTGAAAAAGCGACGGTTTTATTTGATGTCAGGTTCTGGCAACCCATATGTGTCAGATTTGTTGACAGTAGAAACAAAGACCATCATTTCTGTCTTTACTCTTGCATTAAAGGCTGTTTGTAGAAAACATTTGTTTTAGAGCTAACCCCTAAGCTCACATTGCTCTTCTCATCAGAGTGAATGCTTTATCTGGCTTTTTTTTTTTTTTACTTCATCTTTTAATCCTAAAATCTTTGCTCTGAGCCTGTGAATTAATCAAATATCTTGTTCGTTGACTGTGAGTGTACGATATTCAGCGTGCATCGACCGCCTCTTTGTCTGCCGTGTTTGCTTGTTTGTTTTTCCCTCCCCCCCACTCGATTAAGATCTCTTTTGCACACGAAGCAGTCTGTAGTGCACTAGCTGTCTTGAGCATGTTGCCGACAAAGTGGCTGCTGAGACGCTGGCTGCTTGGAATGATGCGACCAAAACGCAGCCGAGCCTGTGACACACAACACTGTTTGTTTGTTCATGGTGTTGTGTTCATCTGAAACCACACTCAGGTCTGTCCACCATCTTCAGCTCAAACTCTATCTTTGCTCTGCTCTCCGAAGATGTTTCCTCTGTCCTCCCTCATTTGCTTACTTGTAGTTTATTCAACTCCCTCTTTCCTTATCTCTCTCTTCTCTCCCTCCTTGTGTTGGTTCCATGATCCCCGCCCTTCCCCGCCTCCCCTTCCCCTCCCTCCCCCACAGGTATTTAACCCCTCGCAACAAATCAGAGTTTTATGATGTAACTAAATGGGTAGAAGATGTGAATAAAAACACTCAAGGACCTTTCCTTAGGTATTAACTCAGATCACGTCCCCTACCTCACACGCTTGTCTAAAGATCCCTCACTTTTGATTTGTTTTCTGGTTTGGATTTAGGAAGAGTTTGTGCCAATTTGGTCCCCCCCCCCTCCCTGCAGTTCTTAAAGAAACAGGCATGTTGATGTGTGGAGTTCTCAGAAGGGAAAAACAATTTAAAAGAATCAATATAGATTATTTCCCTGTTTATCAGCTCCCTTTTTTATTTGCAGACAATTTTTTTTGCTTCACTTCCTTACACAAATGAGTATTAAACATATAAAAGAATCATTAAAGTTATTTTCCTCCTAATTTTCCGTATTCCCTTCTTTGCTCCCTTTCTCCCCCCCCAACCCCAGTCTCTTGTTACCTCTGCATGTTCAGTGTTGTTCCTTTCCAGTAAGTGTTGGTGGATTTGCCCCGCCCCGCTCCCACTGACTTCTCATGCACCAGGTCGATGTCAGAGCTGAGGCTAACACTTTCAGCTCTGACATCCTCCCTGTCCTGTTGTGACAAAGCCAACTCTGATTGTGTCTGAAGTCTATAGACGGTTGCAAGTTTTTCACCAGACGACAACCACAAGCACTGGAATCTATAGACTTTCACCGTTTCCAGAAGCTCATTGCTCGTCCTCCCTGTTTTACTTCAACTAGAGAAAAGATCCCAACAAAAGAACAGAGGAACATGGAGCCAGAAGGCAAACTTGCCATTCAGCTGCAAAGCTTTTAGTAAAGTGCCTTGAAACGACATTTGCTGTGAATTGATGCTACATAAATAACCTGAATTCAATTCAACTGAATTAGACTAATATAATACCTCCTTTGTTTACTTACTGTGTTGTTAAAATCTGTACAAGGCAAATAGTTTTCCCCAGCTTTGTAATTACTTGGTCTTCATACATGAATGTATTTTTATGTTAAGGAGAATGCTTCTGGCTCCACTCTCTCTGTTTTTGTCAGGCTGGAACATTTCGACCGTCGCACTGCAGGTGGTTCATGTGTACAAGCTGCTGCACATGGGACGACCTCCCTCTCTTCCTTTGTTCTTACTGCAGTGGTGCTTTAAATCTCACAAATCCTTTTGGTATTTTCTGCATTTCTGCATATGGATGACCTGAACCATCACTGGATTCAGAGATTGTAAAAAGTAGCCAAATTATGTAATGAGGTGTAGTATCTAGTAGTAAACATTAGTGAGTTGCAAAAACAATCCTTATACTGATGTGCCCTTTTATAAGTGTTAATCAGTCCTGCATAATAATTAACTGTGGGAGGAAGACTGGAGTACCCAGAGAGAACCAACACATGCATAGGGAAAACATGCAAACTCCAGCCAGAAAGGCCCCAGACTTTCTTTGCTACAATGCAAATCTATAAAATTATCATAATATCAGAGAAAAGAACAAAACAAAGGATGCAGTAGCTTAAAATACATTTTAAAAGTTTCATCCCAACAAATATTCAACATATAAAACCAGTGTACATTATAACCTAAACATTACAGTATTGTGAAGAAAAATGTGGTTAATTTCTTAAAATGGTTTTTTAGAAATGAAAAAAATATATTTCAACATGAGAAACAAGCAGCTTAAAGATCAGCATTCGATTGTTACCCCATGACTGGATTTTATTGGTTTGATTCTATATGGTAGAAAACTTTAAACTGTGATGATTTTGGTCATATTTATTCAGAAATAATGAAATATGTATTTAGAAACCTTTAAGCACCACTGTATGTTTCTGATTCCCAGCTGTGGCCTGGTCTGCTTTTCCTCTGACTGATCCAATCTATCGACTAAACAGGAGAAGCTTCCGTCCATTTTCAACACAGATAAATGAATATTTCCGTATTCTGCTGTGTTTTTACACATTTTGAATTTTAAAGCAAACAAATCGCAGAAGACGGCAGCTGGGAACAACAGTGCACAGAGTTTGCTCTGAAAAGCTGAGCCCTGATTGGTTTTCTTTATGCTTCAGATGAGTGAAAGCTTCAACTTTTAAGAGCAACTTCGGCCTTAGTGAAGGTGAAACTGAGTTACTGGAGCAGCTAAAGAAAGATGTTGCCCAAAGTCACAGATCTAACATTAGCTCAACACTTTATGCCTAACCTCATTTAGCCATCTGTGTCTTTGGTCAACATGTTGGTGTACCGGCTGTAGAAGGAGAAAGCGAAACGTCTAACGGTGCCACCTTCGCTTTCTCCTCAGGACACTTTCCCCTGCCAAGTCCCCGACTTCTTCTACAGGATCCATTGCATCCAGCAGAAGATACCCATATCCCATGCCTCCACTGCCGGATGACCAGAGGAAAGCCAACAGGCAGAGCGCCAGGGTGAGCACAATTCAAAACCGGACTGTTACGTTTTGAAGAGTTGTGACGGCAATGAATAGGGAACCGGACTGTGACAACACACTGCAGAGTTTCTCCATGTGTGTGCACATCACACAGGGTCCACATACACAGAGTTTACTTATGTGCTACACAAATGCCATAAGTAAGGAATGTTACTTGATCTCATTCTAAACTATGCAGATGCTCAGTCTGCACTGATGAAAACAATTGTAGAATGTAATGCAGTGTGATATTTCCCTATTAAGTATTTCTGAAACTGGGGATTCATTTGAACCCGGAAATGTTATAGTGAGATGAGTTTAAGGATTTTCTAATGTGTTAATTAATGATACCCACCAGAATTAATAGCACATTTTAATTTATTTTAGTCATTTTCTTTTGACAAATATATCAGTTTAGTCATCTGTATGCTTTGTAGAAAAATATATTTTACTTGAGGCGGTAAGAAGAAGATAATTTGCAACTTATATTTGAAAAGGTGCTATTGTTGTTGTTTTTATTATTAATGCAGATGGTGGTCTCTTTCTTGCCTCTTTGCCTCACTCCCTTCTTCTCTTCCAGCTTTGGGAAACATCAATATAACTCTGACTCTGACGAAAGCTCCTAAGAAAGTACACAAGTCTCCTTTTCTACACAGAAAACCAAAAAAAAAAGAAAAAACATATAAAATTGACTCTAAAGCGAAAGAGACAGACAGACAGAGTGACCGGAATAGAAAGGATGTAGACAGACGGCTGTTAGGGTGAACAAATATGTTTGGGGCGGACTCTGCAAGAAGACGCAGAGCAAAGAGCCTCCAGGAGCTCAGACCGAGCTGTTCGTTTTTGCTGAAGCCTCAAAAATTGGAGGGGATCCCCCCTCCTCCCTGGACCCCCCCCACACACCTTTCACAAATCAGCTCTTGTCAAGGTCTCTTCAGACACACCGTCACCCACCATAAGGCATTGGAGCTCCTCTCTGAAGGAAGCGGAGGAGGCAGAAAGAAGCCGTCGCATCTCTCCTGAGTCTGCACTGACTGATTTTTGCCAGGATGTTGTTTGAATTGAAAGTCCAGCATTGTGTGCATGAGAGAAGCCCTGATTATCAGCTGCGTCTTCCCGGCATAAAGAAGAGCAGCAGTGTGATTTGAAGGGAAAGCATGCATCTGCATTAAACTAACCCATGTGTCACACCAGATATATTTCACTTCTTGAACCGATCCTGCCCTCCTGTTATTCCCGTTCCCCAGAAATTTGCTATGTGGTGTGTGTGTGTAAATATGTACAGTAAAGTACACACAGAGTATGCTTGTGCTTTTATTTTGAAAGACAAAAGCATAGAGAATACTCAGCTCATTGTTTTAGCTGTAGACAGAGGCCGATGTCTGTAGATAAATACGAAGACCCTGCACTGTCCTGTCAGGGTTTCTATTTTTTATTTTTTTTATTTTTGTCTTTTCGGGGGATCTTCCTCGCTTCATCCATCAACAGCAGAATGTGTCTCTTTTTACATCATGTTTCAAATTATTTTCTAATAATCTCTGTTATAAACTTGCAGACGATTGTGACACATTTGGAGCTCAGACCTCTCCGGACGAGTGTTATTTTAGCATAAATAAGATAGTTTTCCGTTCCCTTTCCCATTGAGTTTAATGGACTCGGATGTGTTTGCTGTAGTTTATAGACGTGCCACTTATCACTTATCATGTTGTTTTTGGAAATGTGCTCCCTTGATTGTTCGTGGGAATGTTTGAGACCAGTGTGCTGCCCCTCTTTTTTCACAGCAAAGTCCCTCACTTCACCCCGATTGAATGTGAGCCGTAGAGACGAATGTGGCCGACTGAACTCGAACCGGATCTGTACACTTTTTTTATTTTAAATGTGCACTTTTGGATTTAGCTGTGAGGGTTCGAGTTGTTCGAGCCTTTGTAAATGATTAACTATGCTGTACAGTGCTTGCTGTTTGAGCTTGTGAAGACCAATGGCATGGCCGTTCTATATCGAACCTTAAGTTATATCTCTGGTTGGCTAATTGTGAGACCGTAACAAGGAAAACGAGCATGTCACTGAAAGTCTCGAGCCCTGCTCCATTTGTCTTAACGCGGTTTGTGTCCCTCCACTGCTCAGCAGGGGAACTTCACAGAGTCGAGTCGTGTTTCTGTCGCACCTGTGCAGCTATTTAAGGTGGATGTCTTGGTGCTTGCTTCCTAGCAGCAAGTTCTTTGTACAGTTGCGACTCGTTGCTCTACCTTGCGTGGAAGCCGTCGCCTTAAAGCTCTGAGTTTGTCATTTTACGAGTGTTTCTGTTCCTCTTTTACATTTGTAGTTCATGTATGCATTTGATCTGTATAGGTAAAGCCATCTCCACGATATTGAACTAATATTGCTTCAAACGTCTTGTTTTAAGTATCTTTTCAATGTTCACCATTTTGTTAGCATTACTGGGTTCCTACAACATTTCATAATCTCTCAGACTCAAATTTTTAGAGTTTTTTAAAAAACTTTTCTGGAAATCGGAGTTCAAAACATTCACCTACATTTCCATGAAAAAGTGCTTGCACCCCCTTACAGATTTCTTCGGCTTTAACTTTTTGTGTCCCTCAAAAATGTTTAGAATGTTTGATTTCAGAGAAGGATAATTTGAATAAATAAATTCAATAAACGTTTAAAATCCTGACTGAAGAGGATTTAGTGGCTAAAACGGCACTGGGAAATGGCCTTTTTGATGTCTAAATGAATGTTTTCATGCATCATTTCTCTGTCACCAACTCAAAGTCAAAACTTGAGCTGTGATTTGGCAAAAATTAAGACACTGTAAAAATGAACTTATTTTTCGGGAAGTTAAAATTTTATTTATTTTTTTCATAGATCAAACGACGAATATAGCTGTGAACTCAAACTTTACCGTTTAATTTTTCCTGACTTATCCAGACAAGGAAAATAAAACATTTGTATTCCAAGCTTTTCCAAGACTGTGTAGGAACCCTGGTATTATGTACAGCAACCATTCGACTGGTCAGAAGTGCTTTATTGTATTTTTTCCTTTCTTTGCTCTAGAGTTCTGCTCCTCTCATTTTTCCTGAGGCGAGCATCACTCCTAGAGCTGCTAGAGTAATGTTTTAACACAAAAATACTGTGTTCGATGAAGACATTCGTTCTGGTTGTTCTGGACTTTGCACTGCACAACCCTCGGAGCGCAGCCTGCCAGGGACGCCTCCGTCAAAACCTGTCTGGATTCAGCCTGCACAAACAGCCGGACTGACCAGTCCAAACAGGACACAGCGTCCACCCTCCAGATGAGCCGCGGACTCCGTTTCTGGCCGGAAACTTTGAATGTATTTGCGTACTTGAGCAGACCGACTACTTCGGTGGGCTCCAGTTCAGCCAGACTCGTAGGCCCTCGACTCCAGGAACACTGCAGTTGTTCTTTTTTTTATTATCTTTATTTTTACTTGTGTGCTGTACAGACTATTGATGCAAAAATCAGCCCACTTATTTTTTTTCTCTTAATCATTAAGTATTGTAATATATTTAATATAAAATAAAACTTTCATTCAAACACAATTCGCAGTTTTAGTTTTTTTTAGAATCAAACTCGACCAAACTTAAAATGAACATGATATTAATCTTTGCGAAAATATGTTCCTTATTCTATGCAGAAAGTCAAAAGGAGCAGGCCAATATGTCAGACATCTATGCAGCATTTCCTCCATCGAAGATGCTGAGCGGTTTTTCTCGTTCCTGCGTTTCTCCAAAGAGAGATCTTTCCACCTCGCTTTGTTTCAGCTGACAGATCTCAGGACGTCGCTCGCCGAGTCCCGCCAACGCCACTTGACAGTGAGACTTTGTCCTCGTTTCTAAAACATTCGTGAGATTGTTGCCTCAGTGCTTGCAGCTTTTTCTGGTGCGTGGCGCCCGTTTCCATGGCGGCGTACTCATCCAGTGAGAGTCGAATGCAACTCTTCAGATGGTCGACACCAAACCCGGTGAGGGCGGAAATAGGAACCACATGTCTGAATGTTATGAAGTTCTTTGGGATCATGTCATCTGGCAGCAAATTAGTGAACTCTGTGGATGGCAGAAAAGGCTAATTTAAAGGTCTAACAATCTGGTTCATATAAAATTTTGAATACAATAAATAATATAAACAGTCTAATACATCTGCAAATATTCTAGCCACAATCATACAAAAGACAGTTTGTTTTTCAGAGGCTTCCATATTTAAAATACTGACATGTAAGCTTTCACTGAGTTAGAATCTGTGTTTTTTTTCCCAATAGATGTCACTACATCCTGAAACCTGCTCCACCAAAAACATACGGTAACACTTTATTTGAAGGGGGTTGAATAAGACTGACATGACACTTTCATAAACATGACATAACACCTGTCATGAACATGAATGACATTAACCAAGAAATCATTACTGATATAAATTTGTTATAAAAGTATTACTGATTGCACTTTAAAAATTAGGTAACTATGTTATTAAAGGTAAAGTTTAAACAGTAATGATTTATTGGTTAATGTCAAGTTGTCATAACAAAGACATTTTGAATAATGTCAACTTTGTATTAAAAGTGTCATAATTTACCGAATGATGCTTTATGACAACAGTCATAAATATTCATGAAGGCTTATTGATGTTCATGACAGGTGTTATGTCATGTTTATGAAAGTGTCATGTCAGTCTTATTCACCCCCCTTCAAATAAAGTCTTACCAAACATACTTAGCTGTTGAGGGAATTATGGGTAACTGTATTGGAGTATTTCGGCTAACATTTAACATCTAACAGTGGTCAACACTTTAACACACTGACTTACCTTCTGGGTTTTGAAGTTGTTCCTTGAGTTCTTCCAGCATTTGATCAGCTTCAGGCAAGTCCATTTTATTTACCACCAGTAATGAAGGTTTTGACACGAGCTCCTCCTTGTACAACTCCAGCTCCTTCGGCGAGAGGTGATGGAGACACAGAAGGAGGTAAAATTAAGTTTAAGATGTTAGTAGTTCATACAAAAAGTTGCAGTCAAGGTTCCAACACAGATTTCGCACAAAAGTTTCAGATTTTAAAGACTGAAATCTCCAGTTCTCAACCTGGTTTGAAAACCTGTTTTTGAAAGTATAAATTCAACCAACCAAAGCAGGACGGACAGACGGACGGATGTGAAGGATACAGCTATTAGAGGATGGAATAGGGAATAAAGTTGGGAAACAAATACTGCTAAATATTAATCCAGATCTGGAAAAAAGATCTATTTCACAATCTCCACACAGTGGATGAACCCTGATGGGAAAAACGTTTTGGACCTGGCAACAGTAAGAGTAGGATTTTATAATAAAAATAAAACGCTTTGCAACATCAGACTCACCTTGGTGAGAAGCTGCACCGCTTCAAAGGCAGATCTACGGGGTGTTTTACTGGCCAGCTGGAAACCACCAACATCCACCTGCAAGAACACAGAGCATCTCACAGCAAACCCTGGCTGACTTCAGCTACTTACATTCTGACATGTTTACATATGTGGAACATTATTTCTGCTTCTACATACAACAAACAGCAGCTGCTTGGTCCTCTCTACGTGCTTTAGGAACTTGTGGCCCATGCCTCGGTTCAGGTGAGCCCCCTCGATGAGTCCCGGCAGATCCGCAATTGAGATCTGCCAAAACAAAAACAAATAATTAGGGAAACTTTGAAACACACATCAGGTAT